AAGTTTGGTAGCGATAGGTCAATTAGGGGTCGAGTTATAGAGTGGAAGGGAAATTGTCTGCGGCGGCGGCGGCGCCGGCTGGGGAGACATGAAACCATAGTATCCCCACCGACTTCGTCGCGGGGGATACAATGAATGTGATCGACAATGCCATGTGACAGACAACCTATTGAAATCCCACCCCGATTCGCTTTCTCCCACGCCTGACGCTCTCACTCTCATGAGCCCACTGCACACAAGCCATATTCTCCTTAGTTCTTTTCATACCCAGTCGTCTGCAGGCAAGCCACACACATGCACGCACGCACACACACGCACGCACGCACACGCACACACGCACACCACTATTCTACTGCCTGGCTGTCTGCCACGACACACCAGCATTCTCTCTACTACTGTACTTCCCTCTGCACAGACCACAATGTCCGCAGCAGAGACATCCTGGATGATTAATATTTACGTCCATTTCAACGGCGAAGAATACCATGCGACCAGGAGTACATAATTTCTAAGATTTGAGATCATTCACTCCCGACGCAACTCACAAACGCACCTACGTGCTTCACCGTGAATCTAACCGCACGGCTTTCCGCGAGCGAAAATAATCGGCTAGCTTCGTCGATAATCCAACCATTTCTATACTCCACCTCGTCTCTCCCCCCAGTGCGCGCACACCCAACTATCGTGGCAGCTACGGCCGATCCGCTACGTACCTCCATGACGAACCATAGCTGGTCGTCCTCCTCCCGCCGCCCTCTCCTCAGGTAGATGCCGTGGAAGTCCGGTATGTTGTTGTGTCGCGACAGGTCGCGGAACACCTGGTACTCCTCCTCGACCTCCTCGACGACTGCAGGGATGTTCTCCAAGATCTTGACGGCAACGACCTCACCTTGACGAAGCAGACGAAGAGCGTGTCAGATTACGGCAGCTTTACGGTGGCCAGTGGCCGTGATCTCGCATGCATTTTCTGCCTCCATCACCCCCTCCTGTCTTGTGCTAGTGTACTCACTTATACGATGACCAGGACCGGATTTAGTCATAAGCTAAACAAGCTACAGCTTAGGGCCTCACAGTCTGAAGGAGCCTAAAGGAGCAACCCTTCCCCTATCTCTACTGGTGTCAACGTATTAGCCAGCGAGCCATGCAGCCGCGCGGCCAGTTTTGAAACTGTACGGCCAAAAAAATGTTCAGACACACACAAGTCTTGGCTGAGACACACACAAAAATTGCACTCCCAAATATGTTTTCTGCACTCCCACAATACTCATTCCTGGCTAACACCCTGACTCGTGTAGTCCCTTCACTCCCACTACAGGGCTGCTCCTCGCCTGTAGCGGGAACAAAGGGGCTACACCGGTAGAGCTACCCTTCCCTCACCCCACACAGATTTGTTATGCATCTTGGCGGTATTCTTGCAAGGTTTAATTGTTACAAAGTCTTATTCTCTGTTAACGATTGCCAAATAGGGCCGCTGCAGCTTCCCATAGCGTAGGGGCTCAGCTAAATCCGGCCCTGCAGATTACAGCAGCTTTGCGGCAGTGGCCGTGATATCGCAAGCATTTTCTGACCATGCACCTCCTGTCTTATCAAGAGCTAATAAATAGCTTATTATTTAGGTACCTCAGGAATAAATTTATTAACTATTGGTCTTATACTATGCGAACTTATACGATCCTAAACTGATCACCCTTTTCAGCTTTACATTACAAATTCTTTTGTAGTGATAGTTTGCTGGGCCTAACGTTTAAAGCTTTTATGATGGCAGTTTAAAGGGATATTTGCGAGATTCTTGCTCAGAAACGCTCAATCTGAAAAAAAGATAGCGAAATATAGTCTCACCTCACAGCGGATACTTCACTGATTACACTAACTTGAAAAACTCTAGATTATTTCATGCAGTTATAGTACGTATTGTATGCAATAATTTGCATAAAAAATTTCTACGTGTTGCAAGCGAATATTTGCACGTGCAAACTTTTTCGCGAAGCTCTTGTGTGCACGAACTGCGAGTGGAAATGGCTTGGATGCAACAAGTGTTGTCTAGTCTACTGGGCCTTATACTAGTAGACTCTACCTCGCTGCCTCCAAGTAAGTCTGACAGGGATTCCCTTGTCACACGCATTCTAAAGCTCTTCCATCAGATCTCACAACATTAAGTGACTAAAAAAATTCGTTTCGCTCTTCAATCTCGTTGCTTCTGATTGTTGTTGATGACTGGTGTATCACACATACGCACGCACGTACACACACACACACACGCACTAGCAATAGTCTATATTATGGTCTATATAGCTATTACGGTACGTAAACAGAAGCATGCATTATATAACAGCAAAAGCTGTCAGTCTTGTCTGTCAACACAGCCAGCTCATTCAGATATGCTTAGGATGGGAGGGGTGCCATCCATCCGAAATTCAGAAATGCGCTACTAATGTGATCAGGTGACCCACTTGCCTGCTTTCACAAAGACAGCTAGGTGAAAGTTCTGACCCTCAATGACCCTCCCCCCTCCCCCACATACAACCTCTAAGCACACACGTGTGCGAGAGTGGGGGCACTGCAATGAACAGTAGCATTATTCGTCTGGTAATTTTCCGATTTACAGTTGGACAAACTCACGAGCTGGCAGCATTATGAGTAGCGAAGTCGAGCGCGAGCAACATATGACCAAAAGTGCCCTGGCTTGTTTTTCCATAACAACACTACCACTGTTAGAACATACACAGCACATATGTTTCAGCGACGTGTCAGTAACTGAAAAATAAATGAAAATGCAAGGTATGACACAGAAAAGAGAAGGAAACAAGCGTGTGATAGAGAGAGGGAGCGGGAGAGAAAAAGTGGCGAGAGAAGGGAACAAGTCCGTGACAAAGAGAGGAGGGAGAGAAAATAATACTAAAGAGACAAAAGAGCTGGAACGATAGAGAAGCAGAGAGAGCGAAAGAGAGAGAGAGAGCGAGAGAGAGAGAGAGAGAGAGAAAGCGAGAGAGAGAG